AGCGCAGGAAACCGGGGCAAGATTAATAGGCAGGCCCCGGAGGATTTGCAGTCCTGGAGATTACACGGATCAAATTTGAATGTAGCAAGAGAGTATAACGTTGCCGGTGTTATTTATTGGAAGGTGACTAGAGTTCGGGCTGCAGCTTTATTTGCTCGCCGGTGTGTGGCGGATCGGTGATAAAAATAGGTCGTACTGATAGGACGAAAAACCTGGGCCAGGGTGGTATCTTCGCCGCTGCACTCGGAGGGTATCGTCTCCGGGGCACGGTGTTTATTATCGGGAACGATCAATCCCCGCCGAAGGAATCGGCGACGAGAGATGTCATGAACGCGTGCACGTACGCGTATACGAGGCCGGATTATGGTCCCTGGTATATTTCCGAGGTGTGTATTTCTGACGCGGCGGGGTCGCTCGGGTTATCCGGGTCACCTGGAAATCCAAATAAGTCGCGGGAAACGAGACTAATAAAGGAATGCTTTCACGACACTTCTGATTACGTGTGCCCGGCGAGGTTATTATAAAAATGAAAGTGAAGGAAACGGGGACGGCGGGGTGTATTTTTCTTAGGTAGCAGCGGCCGCGGAACACCGTCGGCGTTAATTTATTCGTGATCATGAAAGTGCGAATTCCTGCCGCTTTCGCGACAAAGAGCACGTAGATGCAACAATGGCGCCGCGGCGCGGAATCTCCCGGGTGAGAAACAGAATGAAAGACTTGCCGGTGCAACGACACGTTATTGAAAAGGAGAGGCGAAAATGGTGCGTGGTTCGGTGCCTGGAATACGTATTACGCTCTTACGTGCCTGGTATTCTCCTTTGCAATTCATCCTAATTAATTCCTCCGACTTCTGCGCGTTTAGGGCACCACGTAACTCTAGCCGCTGTCAAAGGGGTATTATTGGGTTGGCAACTAAGTGATTGCGGATTTTGTCAATAGACGGTTTTTGCACATTCTTTTGTTTTGTCAACGTGTTCAAGGCACCTGACTTATATTGTTTTCTCGTTGTTTGGACTTCCGCCTTTAATTTAGTTGAAAAATTGTATCGATTAGTTATTTAGTTTCGTTTTTATCCCAATTTAAAAATGGAAGAACAAGACGCGCATTTCGGGCATATTTTATTGTTTTATTTCCGAAAAGGCAAGAACGCGTCGCAAGCACGCAAGAAGTTACGTGCCGTAAATGGGAATGAAGCCTTGAAAGAAAGACAGTGTCAAAATTCGTTTGCCAAATTTCATTCTGCTGATTTTTCACTGAAAAATGCGCAACAATCTGGCGGTCCAGTTGAAGTT